ATGCATGGAACGCCTCTTTCTCCAAACGTGAGCCAGTTGTCTCCCCATTTAAATACGAATTCGCCACATTTGAACCAGAATTCACCCCATTTAAGTCAAGCATCTCCGCAATTAAATACACATTCACCTCATGCAGTATCAATGGAATCTCCAAACACACCAAATTCGCAACAAATAAATCGAAATTCTCCTTTAACTTCTCCACATCAAACAAACTCTCCTACGTATAACGCAGTAGCTAGCGGTGGACAACAAATAATGCCACCCGTCAATTTCGAACAATTACCCGCACCTGTTCAACAATTAGCTCAACAAGTACAACGTATGCCACTTCCACAAACGCAAATGCCTCCAAGTCTTCCACCAGGTGCTAATACAATGATCCCTGGCCCGAATTACTTTGTACAGCCACCGGGAAGACCACCGCTGTATAGAGTTCCTGGTCCACAGGGCATGCATTATCCTCCTCATATAGCACACCTATATCCGCAATATGGGCCGAGTCCATATCCGCAAATGAGTGCACCGCCACAAATGCATCCTCAATTATCTCAACAAATTTCGCGTGGAAGGTATCCTACTGTTGCACAAAGTAGTCGGCAAGTACTATTGATGAAGTAATCATAAAAATGTGCAACTTACTTGTAATAACAGTCGAATGTAAAAGTTACAAAAAAAATAATTATTATATTTCAAATATGCTATTAAGAAGTTTAATTTGCATGTACATATTACAGGGCACCGCGGGTCCCTCAAATTGGACCTACTCCGCGGCAACGTATGAAACGTCCTATTCAACAAATAACACAAGTACAACAACAGAATAATTCTGCGATGAAACAACGGCGAATGGATGTTTTATTGCCAGATAGAAACGAAGACGCAGACTGTCATGTTATCGCGCAACAAAAAAGAAACGACGGTCTGCCCGTTATACAAAATGTTCAGGGTGCTATTGTTCAACAGACGAACAGAAACGATTCTACTATACATCTCACGGATTCTATAACTCTTAGTGTTAGACAACCAGGTACTGCTAATACTCCACTGTATGTTTCCTTCTTAGTGTATATTATATTTCGTATTATTCCTTTGATTTTAAATACCTCTTCTAAGAATTAGTTTTGACATTTGAGTTTTGCTTATTTCTTTTTATAAGTCCTTTTATGTTTGTTTTCGTAAATTTATTTGAACGTTCGTTTAATTATATTTTGAAGAGAGTATGGAAAAATATAAATAACTGTTCGCGGAAGAGGTGCACTGCGGGAGTAAAAAGAAACATATTTTACTAATCTAAAGGTTCCGCTCCAGCTCAAGTGCAGAATACATCAGGTGCTGGCGGCAAGAAGTCCGATGCAAAGGCTGTGGCTAATGTTCTCGCAGCCAGAGGTATTACTGTTACTCCAGCAGCAAATAAAAATAAATCAAGTGAACAAAACAAACAGCAGATACCACCTTCTCTGCAACAGAGGACTACACCTTCACAGCAGACTTTAAATGTTACAGCGCTCACTCTGAATTCTGCTATTTCTATCATACCAGCTAGTTCACAAAAAAAACCACAAGAACAAGGTCAATTTGCTATTCCTCAGAATAAACAGAACAAAACAACGGTGAACGAAGTGGAAAGACCACCAAGGCCTCCTACTGTAGATTTAACGCAAGACGGTCCACCGCAAATGCCAGTAGTTAGACGTGGAAGACCTCCACGGTAAGATAAATTATAGAGAGACCGTTTTATATATATCAATAACGAGATATTATTTATTATTGCAGAGCGTTACATATTTGTCAAGTGTGTGACAAAAATTTCCAAAACCAAGATATGTTAAATCAACATATGGCCACTCATCGTGCACCAAGTAAATTACTTCACAAGTAAGTTTATCTTAGAGAATTGTTTCAATACGTTACGATTAAAGTACTAATATGCGAATAATAATGTTTGGTACCAGGTGTAATCTTTGCTCTGCCCAATATCCAACAGCTCAAGCGCTAATAACGCACAAACAAGCGTATCATAAAGAAGTTGATACAGTAGCACAAAATGGTGGTGCAGAATTAGCACTACCGGTTGTAGATTTAAAATCTCCCCACGTGTTGAATCGTTTATCAAATCTTGGTATACAGAGCTACATCCCGCTATCCCAGCTTAGCGCTCAAACGGGCGGATATTTTGGATTACCGATAATCACGATAGACGGTGCACGAAATCCTAACACCTGTAATTTAGGTGCGCTTGGTGCTACATCTATTCTAAGTCTGGGCCCTCTTAAGCATTTGTCAAACAGGTAACTGTGGACAATTTTACATTTGTCCTCTGTTCTGTGTAATGTTTTCACTATCTTTATAATTTTCATCGGTAAGATTAGTTTATTATGAGTATCATCCCATTGGCTGACTTTTACAATGGGCTACCTTTACCTTTCCTGTTCATTCTACATAAAGAAGGCAATACAAATTCGACATATTCAATGATTTTTCATGAAAAATTAATTCAACATTTTTTTCTATTATTTCATATTTCAAAATTTTTTTTTTTTTTAACATTTCAACATACTTTTTCCCTTCAGTTTACGTAATTATCATTAGCTTATGTAATCCTAAAGCAATACAGTATTTGTGACGAGGGTTAAAAAGGTGTTCGTGTTACTTTTAGAATAATAGAGAACAAGATTTGACATACACAAAATCATTATGAGAGGATAGTGTATATGTATATGTCATGTATCATTACGAGAGAGGTTTTTAACATAATTCGATTTGCGCGTAAAATCATCGCCACTACTAGTATATTTTTTTTAAATAAACACACGAATAAAAACTCATCGAAATGTATGTCTCGGAAAGAAACTTTTTGAGAATTCATGCCACACGGGGTTAAATCATGGTTCCAAAATGTAGTGCCACACATTCATTAACATACCGGAAGTTATGTGTATAACATTTCATCTACGAAGTTATACAAATATCCAGAATTATTAGAATCCTTGTGCACGGAATTAGAGAGAGAGAGAGAGAGAGAGAGAGAGAGAAAAGAAACTCGTTAAGCTTTCAGGTTTATAAAAGATCACATTGGTTTTACTGAATAAAAATATCATTCTTTTGAATGACTATTAGAAACTATCGTTGTGTGAACTTGTATCGCTTGTGATGCGACATACACTCTTTTTGAATCTGATATCGGGAACACTTATATATACATTACGAAAATTACTAATGTACCTAACTACTAGATTCGCTCTTTTAAAGAAATATGATGTTTCCTGGGTACTTGAAACAATTCTCCAGACAGTAAGTAATTATATCAAATAGTGTTGTTAAAATCACGTCCGTTTTTTGAATGAGAAGATTATAAATTATAAAAGGTACAGGAGTTGAATAACGATAAAGCTGATAAGAGTTCATTATTTTTTTGTCGAACGGTTTTGTTTCGTATTCGAACAGATTATCGAGATATACTATACCGGTTGTAAATATATTTTGTAAAAAAAGATTACAATTAAAATCATACGCTCGTTTGTACTTAAACCTCCTTGAAGATACTAATAATTATGTAAGTGATACTTAAAGCAGCCAACGTTTATTCTTATGAAATCACACGCGATCTTTATTTATTATCATTCCTGTTAAAACATTACTGTATATATATATAATTATCGTTTCTGTGTATTATGTATATTTTAAAGTAAGCAATCTGTTCCGTTGAAGTTATAAAAAATGAAAACGGTTACTAAAACGCGCAAGAACTGATTTAAAATAACGATATTGTATATATTTGTATGATAATAAAAGAAAAGTGAAGTATATGATAATTTCAATGAAATCTAGTTAGTTGACATAACTAACAATGGGGCATTATATTGTTCTTAGTTTGCAATAAAGATCGTAAATTTAAATAAAAATTTCGTTAAGTTTCGAATTTGCTTTAACTGTTAGTTTTTTTGAGGAATTAGTTTTAAAGAAAATTTATGATAAAGAACATAGAATTGTCGTAGTATAATTTTGAACGAGAAGAACGAAAATAAATCTTTGAAAGATATGCCAATATGAATGATTTAATACATGTTCCTCTCCAATTTATTTTTAGCTGGTATTTTAAACACTTTCATTTACATATTGTAAACTTGGAGGATATCAAATTTATCCTCGCGTTTAACGCTTTCGTAAAACACGAATGACGCGACGGTTACTAATTGTACTACTGTATTCATTGAAATTTTTATGTTTAATAATTTTAAATGTTTTATAAATTTTCTGAGTTTATACAAAATCTGTATTTAATTCGTACAGATTTATCGTTACCGTTTGAAGTATCGTGTTCCTAGTGAATGAATATTGTTTGAATAAGTAATTAACATATACGACTGTTTACTATTTTATAAATTGCATTGTATAAAAGAATTTAATAAATTCTAAATAAAATAAGAAAATTAAACTTATTACTGTGTACCGCTTATTGTTACCAGAACTTGTGTTAATTAACAGAGTATAATACTAACTTGATATTAAATTTAAATTTCCTTCCTATTGAATTATGACTTTAGTATTTCAGTTCCGGTTGTAATTTATTGCGGGATTTTATGCGTTTGTCCAGAATTTCTTAATCGCCGTTTTTAAACGTAATTATAACTTTTTTTCACTTTACAATAGTTCATCTTATACTTGTACACATTCGTTAACATTTACAATTCACAATGTACATTGTATTCCACGTGAATAATATATTTTTTCAAATTACGTTTTACATTCTACTCGAACGTTATGTACAACTATAATTAATATTAGAATCTACGTATGTGCGATATGTGCATAAACTGGAATTCAATTTCTTCATGATACGAGTAATCGATGAGATGTTTTTTGCCCTAAATGTGTTAAGTTTAGACTTGAAAAGCGAGGAAAGTTATCCTCTCAGATTTTACTTTAAGAGTGTACGTTAGTATGAATTCACATACGCGCCAACATAATTGCGGGCGTTCTGTCACTCGATGTCCAAACAGCGGTTGAAAAATAATTTTGTTGATGTTCTTAAAATTCTATTTCATACAGTTTATGCCCATCGTAATTTGAACTTTTTGTATTTTAAATACTCCATCATTTTCATATCTATTAATAAGCAATCGTTTCTCGATGGAATTGTAACCTGTACTTCGGGTCTTCCCAATCGGAAATTTTATAATTCATCTCATTTATTCATAACACTGGCTGTCATCGTTGAATAATTTTTCATCACAGATTTATTTGTTTTCATTGCAGATATTTTATTCGTGTTAGTTTGAAAGTTTCGGTATGAGTGCTACATTGAACTCCAGAGCTGAACAGTATTTCTACAGTATAAATCCCTTGGCACAAAGGATAGGAGAAGATATCACTGCAACCAAGGAAGCCTATGAGGGTTTATGGAATACTTTAAGCATAGCAGAACGAAATCAGGCAATTAATGAAACCATCATTCAACCAGAAGTTGCATTAAAGTACACTTTAAAGAAGCCAGAGTTTACTACTAAAGAGTTACCAGAATGGTACCCAAAACTACGCATTCAAACTGGAATGAAATATGTCATTGATGAAACTGGTTCTGTAAGTATAATGTTAAGTTTGCAGTAATTATCAGCTTTTGCTCATAAACCATTTGTTCTTTGTCTTAACTGATGTATAAATATCATAACAGTAGTGATGGGACTATTTTGATATCACTGATACATTTACATTTCTAATTGATACTCAGGTACGAGTTCAATTTTATGGAAAATATAAGGTAGATACATTAATGATTTCAGATATTTTCAAATAAATAGCATTAAGTTTTATTTCAATTCATAATTGATTAGAAATGGAACAAGATGTAGTTAATAAGAACGTAGCTTCAAAGATATTCCATAAATATCTTACATATAATAATATAATACATATACATATATATTTAAATAGCTGATATTTATTAGATCAATGTCCTTAGATTGATATCCATTTCCACAGAGGAATCTTCCAACAATTAAAATTACTCTTCTCATTTGGAATAAAAGGAAAGAAAAGGAAGATTAATGGAACATTTTATGAAAATCTGGTATCTCAAATTATATTCACTCTTAATCTCAAATTATATTCATTTTCATTCTCAATGATGTATTCCAAAACTTTAAATTCCAAATTCACCCTTGATAGGGTATCAAAGGAAAATCAAACGCGAGTAATCAAAATTATTATGATTATTATTATTTAAAATTAGGGAAAGTCGCGAAACGTTCGAAACGACAAGCTCACGAATACTCAAAAAACCTGACGAGTCTACACCACGTCGTTACGATAACTTACATATTATTATACAACTAGTTTATTTCGATATCATTTTGATTAATGAAATTGTACATGTACATGTTAATCAGCAGATTGGTCCCATCACTGGTCATAAGTATGTAACACTTGAAAGCAACTTTCTTATTGTAACATTGTAGACGTTGCGATGGCGAGACGAGCATTCGGCTCCTTTCTCATTTATGACTCAGTCACAGATGAATCTTAGTATAATAGATTCCACGGAGGATGCAAAGTCTAAATTAATCAGAGCTCAGTTTGGAGAAACGCCACACTTCTCAAGCCCGGCAAAAGCACAGAGGAACAATACGAATTCCCTTAACGATACGTACACTTCATCCCATACGGTGAATCGTTTTCAATCCGATTGTTTCTCGAATAGTATCTTCGAGGATGAACAGTGTAGTAACTTGTTGAAGGGGAGCGTCGACGGGGATCATTCTGAGAGTATATTCGCTAAACTGATGAACAAAACGTCTTTGTTGAAATTACAGAATAATTTAGCCGACGATATGGAAAGTTTAATGAGAGAAAGAGATTCAGACACGGATAAAAGCCAGTCGAATACGATGGTGGTAATGTCTCGTACAAAATCGAGCGATATCAACGAATCTACAGCGTTATTGGAAACACCTAGCTCTTACAGTAGCTTCCAGTCGTCTCAATTGAATCAGGAAGATGAGGAAAGGACCATACCAAAAACTGGTTTCGAATTCCTCGATAATTGGTAGATCTGTTAAGAGAGATATATATCGATAGAATTACGTTTACGTTAAAAATTGGTACTATAGTTATTGATAGAAGATTTTGCGTTGAATCGTGTTCGTACAATTTTAGTTCCTAAAACTGGTAATGCCGTGTTGGTATTAGATTAGATTACTATTCGTCTCTATTAGGTGTATCCCTTAATATTTCTATAAAGATGGTGTATGATCTCAAATTTACGAAATGATCTTGCTACGAAAAGTATATTTGAGTACGAAGAAAGCTTGACCAGGTGCAAAAATGTATGCATATCGAATATAATAGAATTATATTATAATATAGATTGTTTATCGCTGTAACGCAGAGGTTTCTTACACGTGGACGATTGTATACGAGTGTTTTTTTACGTATATATACAATTATACACGGAGGAAGCTCTAACGAGAGGACATTGAGAAAGGGAAATAGTTGTTTTTTATAAAAGTTTAATATTTTAATAATGGTTTTATACTCGTAGCTTTTTATTTTAGAGAAATTTTTACCACCTAATATTACCGTGTATCTTCCTAAGATAATCATCGACTGTCATTATCTACAGAGGATAAAAAAGAAAAGAAACATCGTCTCAGATAACGTAGAAAAAGAGTATTCAACCGAAGACTGAAGAGGCTATTTCACTCGACTTCTCTTACTCTGTTCATATTTTATCACGTTTCAACATCATTATTAAGCGAACGATAATATACGTTTTATATAGACTGTTATTCAGATTCAATGATTTAAGAGTTACATAGTCTTCGTAGAATAATAACGATAATTTAGAATAATTGCCATTCACTTGCTCTCTCCTCTTCTTCGAACAAAAAGAAAAAGAAATTAACGAACAAAATGAAACGCATGTGTGAGTCTTGTGTGAGATAGGTTGTGTTTGTGTGATCAGTAATGGAAAAACAATGTCAAGTCATTTTTATTGAAAATACACATGTATTATTATACAGTATTTTAGAAGCATTTACTATGATATTTAAATACATGAATTCGTGTATATTTATTGTTGCCTCTTTTTTTCAAGGTTCATTCCTTCCTCGTTGATCTTCCTGAAAGTCCAAACCGTTAAGTGGTCCAGAATCCTGACAGCCAGACTAGTAGAAAGAAGGACGATTTGAAGTTCACTTGAGCAGTACTTTTCAATGAAAATATTGGAATTATTTGTACCCTCTGTCCGGGGAGACTGGATTATAGTTATATTCTCATCTCCACCGCCAATTTGCCCGACTTTCGAGTTGTTGTAATAACCAAAGATATTTTTGTTCGCTTGAGTGATACAATAGAACTCCTCGAGATCGGTCGACCTCGTTAATTTGGCTTCTGATTCTTTCTCGAAGGGTGACACCAGTATCAGACGCCTTTTCGACGATGCTCGTACTGAAACTGAAAACGATTCTCTCTCTGTGATTAAAAGAAACAGTTGTACAGAGTTGGGATATTTACCATTTTTGTCCATTTTATCACCTGATGCACCCTTAGCTGTGTTTTTCGATCCGTAAGATATTTTCCGCGACAGTGTGGTCAAACTTTTCGAAAGAACGCTCGATCGACTTCTTTTATCTGTTAAACATCGTCCAGAGATACTCGATTCGTTTTTACTTTCCTGTACGAAATTACCTCTGTTTTCCGTGAAACAATCTAATCGCAAATATCTTCAATCAATCAAATTCGTCAATTTTTCTGTTCTCTTTTAATTATCTTAATTTTCTAAGTTTCTCAAGTTTAATTTAATTTTCTCTTTTCAATTAACTTATTCGAAGGAGAAATTATCGAAACCTTTGTCCTCTTTTTCCTCCTCGGTAGTCACAGGGCTACATTTTCCAAAACCCGAGCAATTTTGCCCGTCGAAGCAGTTCGTATCCTTGGAAAGTTTCCCGGAATCCTCGCTGTTTTGTTTATCATCGGCGGACGTTCGCGCGACAGTCACATCCTCTTGCACGTTTCCACCACAACATTTATACTGTTCCATCGCCTGACGCTCGAGCTCCTGCAACCAAATTGTCCTTCGTATTTCGTAAACAAGTAGGAACGTGTCGGTTAAATTTCGTTCCCGAATTCAGTCGCGGTAGTAGAGTCGTAGAGGGAAGGTCGTACTCTGTCCTGTCGAGTAATTTCAGTGAATTTATCGTGTTTAAGTGTTGTGGAAGTTCGCGAAGCTTCACGAGGGACGATCAGAGTGATTCGAGGTAAAAAGATGTAGGAATAGAAGAGAATGTTCAAAATATAGAATATAATACTTGATATTTGAGAGCCAGAGATTCCTCCGAGGTTCTGTACTGCTCCATCGCTTGTTGCTCTAACTCGTCGTATCTAACGTTAAGCGTGCGTATTAAATCATTGTTAAATTAGTTAGATTGAAGTTTGTACGACAAAATTTGTTTTACTGTTTGTCGTACCTTTTCTCGAACACGTTCTCCAAAATGGCCGCCTGGTTCGCCGAGGCGTTAGTTAGAACGTCCCTGTAAAGCCTCCTTCTGTTTCTACTATCGTTTTTATCCCTCTCGTTGCTCGTTTTCGAGGTAGATCCCTGCACCTCCTGTTTCTTCGAGGTGTTTCTTTCTCTTCTGGAACTCGAAGCTTTCCTGTCGTTCTTCCCTTCGAAACTCCTTAATTCCGATACTAGGCTGTTAGCTGCAGCGAATTCCTTCGTTTTCGACGAACAACTGCTGTCCAACCATTGTAGAACTTCCGATTCCGATTTGGTACCCCTGTTTTTACCTTCCAGAATGTA